ACCCATGTCCAGATCAGCAGTCTCTGGCCTTCCTGACCAAGGCAGATAATTGGAAAAAGAAAATGCTGGAACTGCTTCAAACTATTTGAACCACTTGTTCTCTGTGAAAACCATCTTCAGAATCAAAAGCTGTATGTTTTTTTCTCTTTCTTTCTCACAAGATGCACAAAACACTCCAGCAAACAAAACCCAAGGCTTATACTCAAAACAAAAGATTATATTAAAATAAACTCTAGATATCTCATAGGTCTAGACTGTGTGCCACTTTTTCTTAATTGCACGAACAATTTCAATGCAAATAACATAAATGTTAACCACCCAAACCCATTATTTATCTTAATTGATAGTCTTTTTAATGTTTAAAAATTGTTTAATCTCTTCAGTAAGATGTATGCTAAAGTAGAAAAGGAACTCAGAAAACAGAAAGCTGGAAAGGACTTATGCTTTCATCATGAAAACATACCTTTTTTTTTTTTTGTTGGAATGAATATTGAAATGAGATTCCTACAAGAAAATAGCTTTTTCAGGCACACTAAATATGCCTTTGTTCAGCAGAATATTTAATCCCCTTGGATCAAGCACTTGGATTTTCTTAGATCATGCTGAGATAACAGCATTCTGCTGTGTTCTGGCACCATAAAATCCTTGCTTATGAAAATAAAAGAAAAATATGGCCTCTCTGGGAACATACATCTCTGAATTGCTTTTTTCCATAGTTTAAATATTGTAGTCTCAAAATCAATTTTTACACAGATATACCACATTCTCTTTCTGAGTCATGGCAAAAGCTCTCCCGCGCCACTATTTTAAATGGGCCAAGTATACATATACCCTTCAAAATGATGATCCTTTCAGAGTCTTGGCTCAGAATCCAGCTCACGCTGGGCAAGTGCCAACGAGTAACTGGAGTCAAACCCCTCCAACAGCACCATCTAGTGAAAAAAGGATAAAATAAACACATGCAAATTTAAACAAGTTTTCACTGCATTCTGGAAACTAACAAAAGGCCAATTCTCTCCTAATCTCCCATTACAACTGCATTTAGGTATAGCTTTCATCAAGGCTCTTTGCCTTGTGAAGTGTAGTGACAAGTAGAGAAAGATTCAACAGCTAATTGTAAGCTTTTTGTCTAAAACTGGAACGCCACTTGAAACACATATAAACTTTCCCTTGTTTATTTTTCCAATGTTAAGCTTGCATTTTTCTTATTGTTATGAAAAACAGAAGCATTTTTAAATGCTTTAAAATTATTGCTAATGTAGGATGTTCTATTTCCTCCTCTGGAAGTGGGAGGTGATATTAAAAGACAAGTAGCTCCAGAATAAAAAGGAAATAACATATACGTAATATCAACAACCTTTTTAGATCTTATTTTCATATAATTGTAATATCTTGTATGACTAAATTATTGAAGCATGAAAGCCACGTCCATGGAAAATGGCACGCTCGGCTTCCATCTGTAACTTTAATGTAACCAGTCTCACTGGTTTCAAAAAGACTATCTGCTGAAGTTGAGTAGGTGCTTACATCTTTCACAGGGTCAGAGCAAAACAGCCTTTGGCTACGTGGAAGAAATTGAGCATTTTAGCTCTTAATTGTGTGTTTTAAAGGGTCTGATTTGAATGGTTTTTCAGTCAGGAGGAACGGATTCTGTACTTTTCCCAATGTGAATCTTCAATGCCATGCAACTCACAAGTAGGATGTAGAAGGGATTCTGTAACAACAGTAGTTTATAGATAACACACACACACGTGCTTTCACAGTTATTCCTCATTTTCAAGATTAATCAGATTTACAGTGCCCACGCAGTAAGCTCATCTAATCAGACTTGCTCCATGGGGCTGTTTAGCTCAGCATACCCACATGCTAACTCTGAGAACTCGTTTCCAAACATTCAGTGTGATACAGTCATTTCTTGCATTTCCAGACCTACAGCTGCTTGGTGAAATCCTCCTTCCCCCCCCCCCCCAAAAAAACATGAAGTCCACAAATCTCAGGTACGCAAAATTTCAAAGCATGCCACTGCACATTTCATGCCACTCTCTCAGCCTTATATTTGATTCACTACAAAGCACAATTCATTTAGAGAGAATTCTACCTTACATAGGAAATTATGTCTAAATAAAAGGCAATCTGCTTGACAAAGCTTCAGGAACTTTCACTTCGAAACGCAAATAGAGAAAGGTGGACACCAATTTTATAATCTTCAAAAGAAATAGTTAAAGCTCTCTAAGTGTTAATTTAATTATTTTAATCTCACAGAGCACACACTCAAGCAGTATAACTCCAGTTTCATGGAATGACTTGAGGTCTCATAAATGTCAAACTCCACACGTCCAAAGCTTCCCTTCCTCTCACCATCCCTGTTAACCCCAGCAGAAAAGCCTTCTTCAAGACTTCCGTACTCCTCCTGGTAGGTTGTTGCTACCCTGGCTGCTCCTTTGAGGTCTCTCCCACTCAGTATTAGTTTGTAAATCAACTTGTTTGCCCTTCTTTGCTTCACCTACAACAACAATCATAGAATGGTTTAGGTTGGAAGGGACCTTAAAGATCATCTGGTTCCAACCCCCCTGCCATAGGCAGGGACACCTCCCACTAGACCAGGTTGCCCAAGGCCACATCCAGCCTGGCCTTGAACACCTCCAGGGATGGGGCATCCACAACTTCAGGGCAATTTGTTCCAGTGTCTCACCACCCCCTCAGGAAATCATTTCTTCCTAATATCTATTCTAAATCTACTCTCTTCCAGTTTGAAGCCATCACCCCTCATCCTATCCCTATGTGCTTTTGTAAAAAGTCCCACTCCAGCTATCTTATAGGCACCCTTCAGACACTGGAAGCCTGCTATAAGGTCTCCCCGGAGTCTTCTCTTCTCCAGGCTGAACAGCCCCAACTCTCTCAGACTGTCTTCAGCCCTCTGATCATTTTTGTGGCCCTCCTCTGGACCCACTCCAACAGGTCCATGTCCTTCTTATGTTGAGGACTCCAGAGCTGGATGCAATATTCCAGGTGGGGTCTCACAAGAGTGGAATAGAGAGGCAGAATCACCTCCCTCAACCTGCTGGCCATACTTCTTTTGATGCAGCCCAGGACACAGTTGGCCTTCTGGGCTGCGATTGCACATTGCCGGGTCATGTTGAGCTTCTCATCCCCCAACACCCCAGAGTCATTCTCCTCAGGGCTGCTCTCAATCCATTCTCTGCCCAGCCTGTATTTGTGCATGGGATTGCCCCAGCTCACGCGCGGGACCTTGCACTTGGACAATGTTACCTATTTTTGTTGTCTGGCTCCAAATTAAAACTATTTTTGTGGTATAACTAAAAGTCCCTCTACAAACACAAAAGAGAAAGTAATTCTTACTTCAATGCAGTAGAAAGAGAGTCCTCTCCTAAGATTTAGTAAGTCTCCTTACATCACGATTCGGGTTGGCATATAGCAGGAACACTAATTCATGCTACTTGGAAAGCAAGATAATACAGAATAGTATGAAGACCCAACACATGCTGGATATTACATACATTGTATGTAATCCTGTATGTAATGCATACATATTACACTAAATATATTACCTACATACAGACAATACTTACTGCATACGGTATGAACACACAAATTGAGTTCCACAATTTCACCAGGGGGATGAAACATCACTGGTTATGTTGTGATTATAAGTTATTTCACTGAAACAACACACTGTGTCCATGTAAAATACTGTGAGATATATATATATAATCACTCAACTTATATATTGATAAGATATTATTAAAGATGAGTGAGATATTATCACAAGTGAAATTCATCACAGAAATTGACAGAAGTATCCACAACTGCTAGTTGTGGATAAAAGCAAACAAACAACAAATCTTAAATCTATAAAGAAAGAAAACCCCAAACAACAAAACAGAAAAGGTACTGGGATGCAGAAATACACACAGACTCTCTTAGCTGACAACTAATTATGAAGTTACATCTAAGAGTTCAAATATCTCAGAAAATAGTTTATAATAATATACCAGGCATGAAGATACCTTAAATAGTGACTGATGCTAAATTTAACATATTATATTCTTACTCTTCAGAATATTCATATTAGGTATAAAACCTTAGTATATTGAACAGGTAAATTTCGACAAAATTTATTATAATTGATGGAGTTTAAGTGAGCTTTTTCATGTTAATAATGATAACATAAATAACAATTACATTACTGGTGCACAGCTACAAGAACTATTTTGAACAAACATTTAAATTGCTAGTTAGCATTTTCTCAATACAGTGAGAGTGTTATCGTCAGTAAAATAATGGTAATTTATTTACAAATACAGAGAAATAAATGATTCAGCAGGGGGCACCCCACCATTGAGGTACAACAAATTTATAAATTTTTTGTACATTTAAAATCACGCCTCTCCCACTTCAATACTAAGTCTCTTGAACAAAATCTAAGGTGGCAGGACAGTAATACTCTTGGAACATTTCTTGATACATATCTGTTGCAGCACTACTGTACTATAGACAAAAGGTAACTACGTCTTCTCTGCTGAAGGGAAAGTGCATAAGACAGGTAGAGCAAGTTGTCTCAACTCTGAAGTCAATAAAAACACATGAGTTTTCTGCATGTGAAAGAAAGCTGCATCTGACATCAACTAAAAGTAAGGACTTCCACTTTTTTTTTTTGCCCCCCTTGTGGTCAGGTGTCTGGTCTTCAGTATGGCTGAAAAATGGATTAACCTGAGCAATATGAGGGATTCAAGCTTAATCAGAACAGCCTCGTGTGTTGGACACAATATAGATGCCCTCAATAGGGTAAGACTTGGGGCTTCTGCTACCATAACTTTTGGTGTTTCTGTGGCTTTACAGACTCATTAGAGAAAAGCAGAAAAGCCTCTTGTCAATTAAACCATAAAGAACATTCAGCTTGATATGGTATTAGCACAGGAGATCAGAATTTGCACATAAGAACAAACATACATCAAGCACATTAACATCAATATACATACCATCCAAAATAATGTTCCTGTAGCGAGAGCTGCATACTGTTCAATTGTAGAAAGCACGCTGAAGATAAGGCATATCAGCACAATAAGGAAGCTGTAAATAAAATTAAAAAAAAAAATAAAATGTAATGCAGTCTAGTAAGAACCTAGAGGGAGCACAGATAATTAGGCCATTACAAATTTTCTGTACGCACAGACATGTCATTAGTATTGGATCATCTTAAAACATCAACTTCTGAGTGATGCTGCTTCATGTTGGATAGTTTATTTCTCTTCAGACACTGAGTTTTTGGGTTGGACATTATCAAATGAAACTGCAAAATAACATTAGCTTCTAACCTCTAAGACTTGCTGGTTTTCAGCCCCTCAGGAGAAGAGCATTCCTTGTTCTTTCCCATAGGAAGGGCTACTACAGCTGAATCACCACCACACAACCCCCCAAATGTGTCTCAAATATTTGCCTTTTTGCTGTTCCAAATTCTAATAAACTGCAAAGAGAAATCCTAATTAAACCAGAAATTAACAGGCTCTGCCAACACTATCTTTTATAACCAATCCCCAAAAGGTCCTAGATAAATAAAATCTGAAACGCAACCTGAAACGCAACCTAGGACTGATTCCATTTTCAAATAAAACAAAGTTTCAAAGCAACTATCAGAGTGAGAGTGGGAATAGAAGTGTTTGCTCCCCAGTACCCCCTGCCCCCAGTGAGTCCTTAGGGAGGGGGTCCTGTTACCCAAGGTAAGATTCGGGACAGCCAGGGAGTTGCAGCAAACTCAGCCAAACTGCCTGGAGCCCCCAGGAAGCCTCTTCCCCCCGCTGGGAAGCTAGGCTGCCCGGCCCTGCGGCTTCTGTCTTCAGACCTCTTCCCTGAGCAGCTTCAGCTGTGCCCATCACGCCACGGGAGTGCTGCTTGCCTTCAAGGAACATAACACATATGGAAGGAAAACACTGAAGACCCAAACTGGATGCCATTCACTACATACGAGGTATAGGCAGCTTCCAGTTCCCAAAGAACTGCATGTTTCTTTTCAAAACATGACATGAGCAATGAAGAAGACTTAAACCATTCACTTATTAAACACAGAGCTAGTTGTTAGGGCTATTTTTCACAATTCTGTTGAGACAAGCAACACCAATCCTTCCCTCTTGACAGAAACTTGCTTCAAAATCCAGTAACTAAATCACCGCCCCCTCATTATAGATCTCTAAAATGGTTAATTGGTTCTTTTTCCTCAGAAAAACAACAACAAAAAAGAATGGATATAATGAATAAAACTGAACTCAAGAGGAGAAATATTAAAACAGGACATCAGTGGCTGCAAATTGGCATGCTTCAGCTGAAGTCACCAGAGCCTTTATCTTTTTTTCACATAAGTGAGAACTTCATGGGGTGAATCTCTTGAAAAGCCAAGCACTCAAAAAACCAAAAATGTGTCAGGCTTGACATTATCAGCTAGATTGCCCAATGATCACTTCAAAATACAGAACACATAAACAAATGATATTGTAAACACATCACAAAATCTTGGAGAGGAAGTTAGTAGGCAATAGGTACAAAAATCAAATTAGTAAGTGATAACGAATTGAACTTAATAGGATAAAGATTATCACATATTGACACAAACATACATATGAGAATATACTTTTATATAAAAAAAAAGTTTTATATAAAACTTTTTTATAAAAAAAGTTTTATATAAAAAAAAAGCAAAGTATAAATGTGCGAGTGTTTCTGATTTGTCTCTAAAATCTTCTCATTTTACCTTGTACCTCTAACTTTGGCCATTCTTAAATAGAAGTAAGGTGTGCAGACAAGGCAGGGGAACACAGAGATGAGCCAGTCATTAGAAACATAGCATATATGTTCCCCAAGTGTCCAGCCCTTCTATCTGCAATATTCCCACAATTGCTTAAGACTTATTTATGTGACAACGTGACCATAAATGGGTTCAGTTACGCAGAGGTAGCTAACAGTCTCTGGATAAAAAGACCAACACAGAGAGAAGTACTAGTTCAAAGCAAACAACGAGTTGCATGGGATGGTGTAAGCTGTCTGAATATAGCAGTAACAATTAATCCTTATATCCCTTAAGAGTAGCAGGCTTGTTAAAAGTGTGTAACCCGGCCACTACAGGAAACCACAAGAGGGCACCAAAGCAAAGACTATCCCGTTTCTGTACTTCCAAACAAACCCAAATAAAGAGAACCTAAAAAGGATGAAAGGTGAAAGCTTGTGCCTAACTGACAGGAAGATAAACTTCGGCTAAATTGTTTGCCAAATCTCTTTGCTTGTTACTATTAGAGAAATTGAAGGCTGACAGAAGAACCCCATCAAGTGCCAGTCACCACGCTACCTACTTTCATGGGTTTTCATGGACATGGATCTGTTTCAGTCTTACTGGGGTTTGTTGGGTTTTTTTCACCCCCAGAAAAACTCTTGAAATTTATTGTTGTGCTCTTTCCAGGCTGAAGCCTGAGACATCTTCATACCCACAAATACACGTTATGCCAAGCGAAACAAAGATGTTCGGTCAGATATTGTTTCTTCTCATCTGTTTCTTTGACACTGGAGGGAAGATGCCCACAAGCCCCACCAGTACAGCCGTGCCAGCGGAGCACCACAGCTAAGCTACTAACCTTGTCACACTGGCGTCACTACTTTGCTTCTGAGACTAGATCAATTACACATAAGGAACAGAGGGTGCAAAATTAAGAGATTAAAAATAATACATGGTCCTCCGCTGACATCAACCTGCTGTTCGTTTCCCTTCCAACACTCAGCTCTTACCCTGGTTTTGTTTCAGTACTAGTGGCTTCCTCCTCCGGTTCTGAAGTGTAAGAAAGGAGTGAGGCATGAGGAAAATGGAAAACAGGAAAAGTTTGCCTTTTTTTTTTTTTTTTTTTTGACAGCTACCTCCCCTCTCTTCAGCCAGAAGCAGAGCACAGATTCTCACTTACTGCCTACTTTCACTTGTTGACAGCAGGCAATTCCACAGTAGTTAAATAGTTACCAACAACAGTTGCAAGGACAGACTATGCCTCAAACTTGAATTTGCTCTATGTGAAAATCGTCCTGGGGAAATTTAACTGCCAAGCTTCAGAAAGCTTCCACTACTCATGAAAGAGCTGTGATTTTTTTTTTTTCCCCCCAAATATTTAGAATGCAAATAAACTTCTGTGAATTTTCAGAGGGAAAAAAATCAAAGGTACAACCTTGACAACAGCAAATAAAATTTAATAGCCCCCAAATTGGTGTATTTTTTCAAAGTAAGCGTTACAATTTTCACATGTCTAAAATAACCTTAATCACTCTTAATATTACTTTACTGTGATCACCATTACTACATTTTCCAAAGAAAAAAGTACTCACCTTGATATAGATGCTGAGCACTTAAACTGTTTATCCAATGAGTTAATATCAGACAAACTATAAGGCAACTGAAACCAGCCTTACAATAACAAGCATTGGACAAATTACTAGTAGACAGGTGTATCAGCCCTACTTTAAACAACCACAAAATTCCAGATAGCTAAGTTAAGAGAGCTTTTTTTTCCAGACAAACTAAGCCTCACCTGCACATCAAAGCTCTGTTGTCGGTGGAAAGACACTAGACATCTTCAGAGTGCAATTGTGAAACAAGTTACTGTGCAAAACGTTTAGTTATTTCAACTGTTGAGAGGGTGAAGATGCTAAATATGGACACCTAAATTAGGCAAACTGAATGTGGGATATCCAGTGTACATGCTAGTCCCCAAACATTCATTAGACTTCACAGAATAGTCATTTACTCTTCACTGGGTGGTAGCCAAGTTGCTTTACTGTAACATAACAAGTGGAAAAGCATGGTACTTGCTTATCCGTCTCACGGTAAAAAATTAAAAATACCTTAGCTCCCATATAATATCACCATGGACTTAAAGATCCAAGAGAGATGAACCTTTTAACCGGTAGCATCAGCCACTCCGGAACACTTTGCTAAGCATACAGTCCCACGCTGATTTCACCAGTTGTGTATGGGGTAGCAGAACAAACATTCATCATTGTATCTGCCCTAATGACTCCAGTATAACACCTTTTTCCTCTAAAGCAGAGACAGACAGCAGAACACTGGAATTTCTTTAAATCTAGCAGTCAGAAGAGACTTAACCTCTTGGAAAACACAGACCTTTTATCTCCTGAAACCCATTTCTTGATTACCCTCTACGCACAAATGTGACCATCTTCAAGAAAGGAAGCAGAGCGATGAGGAGTGCAGGCTTTCATCATCTCTGATCTAACTCTTCGATTGCGGGGCCAAGCAAGCGTTAGAGATGAGGCGATAGCGTGTGAAGACTTTCATATTGCCTGTCCCAGGTTACAAAGTAGCATCTGCCTGCATGTAGATAAATCACAGATACTGCATCAGCAGATGCACTCAAAAATACTTAGCTTTGTGGTTAACTCACATCTAACAGTGTTACACTTCTTTTAACCCCAAGAATTTTGCAAGTGTCTGATCACCTCTGTACTTCTGGATGTGAAACCGTGAAACCACTATTAAAGCAAAAAGGACACTTACAAAGCAGTAGACGTTTTCTTTCATGGACTAAGTTTTCAGAAGACTATTACAAGGCGACCCATTTCCTCTCGGACAGCCAGAACTGTTTTACTAGAAGCCAGTTTCTGTGCTTGTCTTTTCAACTCAGTTTTTAAAGGCACTGCATACCTGGTGGAGTCATCCTCAGAAACGGAGCTATCTCAGTACGTGTGAAACGACATCAGCCTGCAGCACTCTGGTACACCCGAGCCTGTACGCAGACTTGGGATGTGTGTCTATGCTTATACTACCCATTAAAGAGAAAAGCACATACATAGACACAGGCATATATAGACTTACATGAGACAGTGCGTGCACAGATGTCTGTATGTGGACAAATATATACGAGGTAACAAAATTTGGCTTACTCCATGAAGTCAGCCAGACCATTTAGATAACTTTTTGTCTCAAACGAGACAGAGCATTTCCAAGAAAGAATCATACAGATGACAGGTAAAAACAACCAGCTAGTATATGCACTCTGATTAGCAATATATAGGAAATATATTGCTAA